TAAAAATCTTCTAATAAGTATGGCTATACACTATATAGATATATAATTTTAAATTGTTAAACTATAGTAACACTAATTGATTTTTTTAAGTTTAGGTATTTTGGTACAATTTCTTATTTCTTGCAAATTAATATATTATGTAATGGGGAGATGCCGTCTGTACAAACTTATTTAAAATTAGCGTTGCCCGCGGCTCCGCCCGCGCTCAAGTGACCAAGAACCAAATTCGTAGGTTTTACATATTAATATACTCTTACATTGCCGTTTTTGTATTATTTCTCAAAAATGAGATATTTTACCGCGGTAAAAAGTATCCCATATGTTGACCCGGATAACCAGCTATCATCATACCAAATTTCATTAAAATCCCTCCAGTGGTTTTTCTGTGATGCGGTAACAGACAGACAGACAAAAATTCTAAGTACTATAGATTCGGCCTCTGTATCGATAATATTGTTTATTTCAATAAGATTTTCCAAAAAATATTTAATGTACATCTATACTGCGGCTTAGTTACAATTTTATTATATGTATAGATAAGAATCCATTACGTGTTAAACTAAAACATAAAAAACACTATAAAACATTATGAAATATAAATAGAATGCATGTCTTAAGATCAAAAATGTATAGTCGGATAGCGACACTAACAACGACGACTAACATGCTTTATCAAAATAAAATAAGCAAAAGCCAGAGGAAGGACTAATCACTAGGTTATGTTAATTTGACTGATATGATAACACATTTTAAAGATTATGGCATGGCCACCTTATCATTTACCTAATTTACTAGGCTTTTTGAAAATACAAATAGTGAAATTTTAAATAATTATTTTCCCAATAAATTAAAAAATAAATAATAATAAATAAAAAATAATTAAATAATAAATAATAATTAAGAAATAAAAATAATAAATAGGTAATAATTAAAAAATAAATCTTTGCAATCATCAAATATAAAATGTTAAATGCGATGTTATAAATATAAGGTAATTTAATAATAACGTTGAATACTAAATAATGTATCGACGATATGAATCAGAAACGTATGTCGCTAGATGACAACGCGAATGTATTCAGACGCCACTCGAACGATTTGATTCAATTATTATAAGCTTTGCTGATAATTTTGGACGATTCATCTAATAAGGTGATGAATATAATTGTTACCTATACTTCTATACCAATATTATAAATAAGTAAGACTTTTTTGTTTGTTTGTTTGTTTGTACCGAATAAGCTCCGAAACTACGTGACCGATTTAGGTGAAATTTCGTAAGAATATAGTTTGAGACCCTAGGAAGGACATAGGAGTTTTTATCCCGGAAATCATTTCTTAAGAGGATTAAAAATGGGGATGAAAGTTTGTATGGGGATTCAACCTAGGAACGAACCCGAGGGTGAGTCACTACTAGTAAATAAAATTCCAATATGCGTGTTAAATATAAAAAGAAATTCTTCTCATACTAAATGGCTTGACAGATTTTGATAATGATGCAGATTTAAAAAAAAAGTATTTTAATTTCTATAAACACGAGCCTTTCAAGCTTTAGATCAGAAATAAACGAATCAAGAATACCATGATGTTATGTCATCACGGAGCTCCTACACCTACTTTCAGACCTACTCTTTTAAATTATTATTATTTATTATTATTAACGTTACATACGAATGGCATATATCAATTCTATTGAATACCGCCATGTACTCAAAAAATGTAATCATATATTGTACCAAAATGATAGACTAATTGTTATTATTCTGCGAGTATCATTATATAAGAACGTTGTAACATAAATAAGATAAAAGCTCGTAAAAACAATTTCCAGTCCAGTAAAGACATAAATGTGCTTCAAGTTAATTATATGAACTAATAACACCGTAAAATTCATTGTAACCGTCGAAAATGCGGTAACAAAAAGCTCATCGCTTCAGAATTCCAATGATGAAATTTGTTATAACTGAGTAAACAGTTTCGGCGTATGGGGTTAATAAAATCATTTGGTCGGAGTCTTGCATTTCTGGCACGAATCATAACTTACCTGTTTCTGACTTTTATTATTGTAGCATTTTCACTGTTGTAGTAAAACGGCAAGGTCGATCTCTAGTTGTTTATAAAACTCTATTAAAATATCTCTTCTATAAACTATCTGTTTCGATGAGTAATTCAGGTATATGCTCATCATGAGTTTGTGTAAATGACTAACTGTAATAGAAATAGCAAAAGTGTAGAATTCATGATGATATCTCCGAATTGGTTGGCTCCAATTGCAAGGGAAAACATTCGTAATCATACAAAATTACCTGTTCGTATCCGACTGCGGCGAAGCCCAAAGGAGGGTTATGAGTTTGACCTGTATGTATGTAGATATGTTGGTATATTATGTCCGACCCTATGGTTTCTCGTAATAACTAAACGGCTTAACCGATTTTAATGATTCATACGTCTTTAGTATCGTCTTACTAACGCGAGTGTCATAAGGTATATAGATATCATACAATTTCAAAATGGCGAATCTGAGGCTCCAATTTGGTTAATTGCATAATACTAAGTTTTTTCATCAATTTGTTCTCATCTTTTTATTTTAAAAAATATTATTTTATTACCCCCAAAATTATATATTCAATCATTATATTTAATACATTAAATTATTTATATATAATTCGATTATGATATCATTATTTAATAATCTTTTATATAATTCATATTAATAACATAAGAAATAAATATGAAACATCAATTGATCATGATCGATGATAGAGACCACATGGCTAAATCTAACATCCATCTTAATAAGAAAAGGATAGATTGATTAAAAAAAAATATTGTTAAGTGCCAAGAAAATCTAAAAACACTACCAATAATAGAACGGAGATCTTCTAAGTATAATTATGTCGTTGTTAATAATTTTTTATAATATTTTGCTTACAAATAAAACCTAATGGCGTCCAAAACTATAAAGTATTTTAACTATTATAGTTTGTAGGTGGATTGTTAGTATAAGGTATTTGATTGAAATATAAACCATATTGATTGCAAATTTCACTCAAGTCATTGAGCTGATTCAGTGTTAAGAAGAAAGAAGCGCACACATTCACTTAGTCATGTACAAACTTTCGTATTTTTAGTATTAGTGATATAAATTCGAACAAATATTGTTTATAATAAATATTGCTCGTGAGGTTCAGATTGGACATAGCTACATAAACTTTGCTAAATTCGCTATTGCCCTAAAAAGGCTTTAGTTATTGAAGACAGAGTTACCTTGTACTGAATTTTCAATAATACTAGCAATATTATTGAAAATTCAGTACAAATTAACTACACAAGGCAAAATATTATATTCTAATGAACTTGTTACAAACAAATTCTAAATTTTTATAGTTTTACTTTACTTTTAAATCAAAAATATTGTTCGTTGCGAAAATGATTTCATCTATACATATAATAAAATTCTAACTAAGCCGAATCTGTACACTAAATATTTTTTGGAAAATCTTATTGTAATAGTCATTATTATCGATACCGAGGCCGAATCTATAGTTTTTAGATTTTTTGTCTGTCTGTCTGTCTGTTACCGCATCACGAGAAAACCACTAGACAGATTTTGATGAAATTTGGTATGGTGATAGCTGGTTATCCGGTTCAACTTATTTTTTACTGCGGGAAAACATCCCATCTTTGTGAAATCTATATTAACTCTATATTTTTCTGTTTTAAATCTTTAATAGATATATCTTTATACTGTATAATGTACTCAAAACTAATTAATTTACAACACATTACAACGGTAAATGAAATAAAATGTAACTAACTTTATTTCGTGTTATTATTCAAATGCTTGAAGATGTGACATAATTAAATAACGGATATGGAAAAAAAATTAAGCAAAAATGTGTTTTAAATTGATTAACTCTTATCTAACAAATTGAACACCTAATTATGGTTGATTTCTCCAAATTTTATTTGAATAAACATAAGATTTACTTATAAACTCAAGTGAGAACATGTTAAAATAAATAACTGTTTCTATCATAGCTATCGAAGATCCCATCTTCATACAAAGAAACTGGTTTATAGTAACTAGCGACAATCTTCAATGAATTCTGTTTTAATCGGACGTCTAGCTATCAACGAATCGTTACTTTAAAATGAATGTAATGTAATCGATAAATATCGAGCGAGATTGGGTTCCCGGTAAAGTCTTCAGACACGTCTAAATTTATTCGAGCTAGCTTCGCACTCGGTGCTCTGACAATGAACTCTTATCGAGTAAACAATCGATCAGTCAGCGCGACCTGGCGCGCGTCTCTCCTCAATTCCCGTGGCGGATCGTAAATCGATATTTACCGGTTTGAAGCACAACACTACTTGTAGTAAGTAGGTTTTTACGACCGTTTCTGTAATTAGGAACGTTCTGATTTTGAAATTGAGTGGGTGTTTAAGGTAATTATTTTCACTTTATCATTACATAAAATAAGATTTGAAAGCGTAAACATGTTTAGCAAATTATAATTACAAATTAATGTGTTTCCTTAATACGATTGATATTTATTAAATAGAATTAAAAACTGAATAACCATGGTCTATCTAATTATTTTTAAAGTATATTCAACAAAATATCGCCCACTACACAAGCCAGAACCTAAGTAAACAAAAGTAAAAATAAAATTCATTCACAGCCGGCCACAAGTGATTCGAGATACATTTAGCTACATCTAAAACTTATGGACTAGCGTTTTATATTTATCAAAATATTTTTTTTTTAAATCAAAACGACACACAAACGTTTTAGCAGTTTTAATTTTATGATAATTTAATTATACGTTATCAATTAGCAGTAAATCCTTTTGAATTGCAGATACAAATTACAGCCATCCATATTTATTAATTAACACTGTCTAGACATATGGTATTAAAACAAACTATAATATGTGACAGTAACATAGACGTATCTTTTTAGGGCGTCTGGCAGCGCAGTAATACTGGACCCTCGAATGGTGTGCAAGAAGAATCGACGAACGCGTGGCCGCCTTGCTCAAATCTGCAGAAACGAGACGGGTCTGTTGAAGGAGATCAGCCGAGGAGTGACGCTAGGAGCAACAGAGTGTGCTCATCAGTTCAGAAATCGCCGTTGGAATTGCACCACTCAGAGACGCAGTATGAGGAAAATATTAATGAGAGGTGAGTTTTGAAATGGAGTTTATAGGGGTTTCCCTTTTGGTTTCATGGAAAGCAAGTGACTGTTCACTGCATTATCCCAAAGTTGAGTTTTTGTTTTAATAATAAGTTTTTTGCAGGTTTTTTTTCTGGTCTTCGTGTGTTCGTGATTATTATCCTATTGAAACTTTGGCTGATTTTGATATTTTTTACGTGCTCTTGGGGTACTTGGATGATTTTTAGTTATTTGGACCTAGTCGATGGTGTCGTTGTCAAGAACCAGATTTTTTTACGATTTTCCGACCAAACGAGTCCTAAATTGTCTATTATGCCAATACATCAAATTTATAACATCCAGCACAGTGGACAATGTCTAATGAAAGATATGTGATATCTATATTATTTTCAATATCCTCTAATATCTAAGATATACAATAATATCTTAGTTATAATTAATTTCATTCTTGCGAGTTCCGTTTTAAGTAGTTGGCGAGTCAAATGATGGATCCTTAAAAATAACTTAAGTATGATAATTGATGATATTTTCAAATAAGTTACTAATAACATACATAAATATGATACGCCAATTATTTCTAGTACATATTATAAATTAATAAAAAAATAAATTAACACAAAAATTTTAACGTATTTTAACATCCTTCATTTATTGTACCTCGCTTCCCATCAGTCTTTATACGTCTAATTTTATTATTTTATTATCCTCTCCATAAAAGTGAATAACACGGTTTTAACACGGATTTATTATAACGAAAAATTTATCAACAAAATGGAACTATACAAAGGTGTGCGATGAGTTCATCAATTTAAAGTTTTATTCATAAAGCTTTATAGGGTTTATTCTACTAAATTACTCTGTTATTTATAATTAGATTTAGACGATCGCCTTTTACTTATGTAATAATATATTCTAGTAAAAGTGTATACTAGCTTTTTGCCTGCGGCTTCGTTCGCGTAGTTTATATGTTATTGTCATAGCGTGATGGAATTCTTCAATAAATAAGCAATAAAATGCCAATAGAATTTATAAGATATAACTGATTGTTTTGGAAATTAGCTTGTTTAAACAAGAAGTAAATAATCTTTTCAGCATTATGATATTAGTTTTGATATAGTGTAGTGTGGTGTGACACTGACAAAGCTGTCAAATTTTCATTGCTGTAGGTCCAGTGATTTGTTTTGGGCGATGATAAAAAAGTGAGCTTTTATTTATACGCGTTATGATTTCCTTCCCGCTCCAAATTCTGACAAACTTATGACACTGCATTATTGTATATTCAATTCGAAATAATATAGCAATATAGATTTTCAGTTTTTTTAGATTTTCAATTTGCATAAAAAAATGCACGGAAAATGAATAAGAACTTTTATACTAGAAAAACGCTCTATGCAAATTAAATAAAAGCTTATAACAGTTGTACTCAACAAACTTAAATGTATATTTACCTGATTCAACAACGACACAGGTTCTTTAATTTAGGCATCCTAAACCGCCATATTTTCTAAATTGAAACAAACAGTAAATTGATATGTATATATTGGTATAAGTGTTAGTGGCTAAGGGATCGCTACCTGCCCAGTTTAATAGCCGATGAACAAAAGAATGCAAAATGTGTTAAATCGCACAGATAGCTATCAGCGCCTAATTCGATTAGCCCAAAAGAGTTGATTTTATGCGACCACTCGTTTATCTAAATTCATCCGTTTTAGAGATGCGATCACGCATTATCGATATTTCAGTGGGCGTCCGATTTTTAAGTGATATTATCAATAATCATTTGCAATTATATTATATTGCACTTAAATAAAAAAACATTAAAATTTTACAACTTAAATGTTTATAAGATTTAGCTTTAAAATATTTTTTTTTATAAGATTTAAATTTGTCAGTGAAAGAATTAGTGCATTGCTTTATCGATATCGACTTTATTGAAATGAACATCACTATGTGGTCTTAACTGTTGACCATTAGATGTCGACGTGCATTCATTTAGTATTCATTAGTGTAAATTAAGTGGTATATGTCAAATATTCGCCTGCACACAGAAAATATTTATAAACTTCACCTTACCAAGCTTTTGGGACGTTTTACAGCTTATCGCTACTTTATCGTGCATAAGAAAAAACAGAAACAAATTATTTTTGACTATATATTATTTCAATGTAAAATACGAGTCGATTTAAATGTCAGCGCTTATTTTTTGTAGCTTTTTGTGGTATCAGGAGCCATTTTGCTAATGTAAGATACATAATTAACTGTTTTATTGTTCGGAGAGATAGCTTAATTTGATGCTTTTATTTCTTGGTTGCTTTTATTTCTTTCGTTTTGGTAAGACAAGATTAGGTCACTACGAAAGAGCAATCTAACTTTGCTGGATAAAGACAATTATTTTTTTATTAAAATGTAATCTGCGAACCTTTTCTTATTCATTCTCCGTCTTACTTTATTTAATAAAAATATACTAATATTTTTTTTCTCAGAAATCTTCTTTCAGAAATTGTCTTAACATTTATATCTGACTAGCGATTCACCCTCGCTTCTTTCGGGTTCGTCCCTAGCTTGCTTCCCCATACAAACTTTCATCCCCATTTTCATCCCCTCAAGGGATAATTTCCGGGATAAAAAGTATCCTATGTCCTTTCCAGGGTCTCAAAATATCTTCTTACCAAATTTCATCTAAATCGCTTTAGTAGATCTAGAGATTACCCCCTACAACGTCACAAACTCACAATTCACAAACTCATAAACTTTACCTCTTTATAATATTAGTATAGATATATACATTTCATACTATAACGATCTAATCTCTTTTATTTAAGAACATTCTGTGGAAGTGTTGATATTGATCAAGTATTTAGATTTGAGGAAAATCAATTATAACTTATGAAATTCTATCACTCTTCATAAATCCGAAAGTTTGTGTAAGTGTTGTATGCCTGTTACATGCTCGTTCAAGCTGGAATGGCTGGGCGACTTGGATATACATATGTACTTTAGTAGGTACACATATAAACTGTAACTTGAGATTATACATTGACTAGCGACTCACCCTCATTCCGCTCGGGGTTTGTCTTTAGGTACGTTTTAAGGGTTAGTATGGAATAGATAGACTTTATATTATATGATATGTAGCCTTCCTCAATAATCGGGCTATCTAATGCAAAATAATTTTTAAATCGGATTAGTAGTTCCTGAGATTAGCGCGTTCAAACAAACAAACAAACAAACAAACAAACAAACAAACAAACAAACAAACAAACAAACAAACAAACAAACAAACAAAAAAACTCTGCCTCTTTATATTAGTATAGAATAATAGTGGTTTTGATTGTTTGCCAAAGATGAATACCTACATATACGCAAAAGGCTATACACAATGTACATTAAAAAGTTACATGGAAAAGTAAATCTTTGCCATATCGTATGATTTATCACTTAGCTATCTCTGTATCCGGAACCGAGTTTCTCACGTCAATCAGATTATAAATTAATCAAAAGCATAAATCGCACTGGAGCAATGATTCATAATGCAATGGAAAATACTGGGCACTTAATAAAGGTTTATTTATAGATAAACAGAGAATTCAAAGGGGTTTCGAACCATGCTTTTATTATATGAGTGTTATTATTTTTTTGTCAGTTAGGACATGAGGTTTGGATTACTTATATTTACGCTGATAGTGAATACGCCTGCAAACGTTTCTGACATAGTACAATTAACTTACGATAGATGGCGCGTACAGCCTAATTTTAGATTAATTAATTTGAATTTAACAGTACAGTAAATAGTCTATACATATAAAATTCTGAGTCGAATCTGTACATTAAATATTTTTTGGAAAATCTTATTGAAATAGTCATTTTTATCGATACAGAGGCTGAAGTTTTTAGAAATTTTGTCTGTCTGTCTGTCTGTCTGTCTGTCTGTATAGGAACGCATTAAGAGAAAAGCACTGCACAGATTTTGATGAAATTTGCTATATTTAAATATTAATTATATTTTATAATAATTTAAATATTAAATTGAGAAATTTTAAACGTACCTAGTTTTGATATAAATATATGTATGTATGTTCGTGCAGGGTTTATGTGTATTACACAATTCTAAGCCACGAAGCCACGGTTACGTATACATTTATATTAAGTTCCTTTATGAATTCCTTACTTGCTTGCTTGAAAGTACAGGTTTTAATAAAACCATTAGTGTTATTTCTTATGATCTTATGAGATAAAAAGATATGATAGATAAGGCTTAATGGCTTTATTAGTGAAACTTTCATCGTTCTAATATTACCTACTATTTAGTAAAAGAAATAGTTTGTTTTTAAATACATATAAAAGACTAGCGACTCACCTTCGCTTCGCTCGGGTCTGTCCCTAGATATTTCTTAGAATTTTGTATTATGAACCAATTGAAATACAACAAATAGTAAGGGCTAAGTGAAACTTACCACAATACTATAGTAAAAACCGCACCCAAATCGGTTAAGCATTTTCTGAGATTAACACCCACAACCGCACAGACCAACAAAAATCATTGTTTTGGGTTCTATTACGTTAGTAAAGACCCCCAATAAAAGTTTTTCTCAAATATCTCCTATGCACAGACAGAGATTAGTTACATTTTTATTATATATATACAGATTTTCTTTAGATTATTAGGTACACAAAAGATAACTTTTTTCTATGTATGTACCATTTTTTAAAGAATATATCAATACGCACATTTATCTATTTATTACTGTTTAATTAAACTTAATATTTTTCTTTATTGCTGTTTTAAATTTTCTTTGTTTTCCAAACTTTAATCTTTCCTGTCTAACACAAGACAAGTTGTTCTACAATTATTATCATTGACGAATATAAATTAAAAAAAAAAACTAAATGATTCTACCTTTTCTCGTCTAAGCTCCTAAGTTAGTAAAGAAGCGTGAAAATAAAATCAAGACGTATGTATTGTAGGTATACATATAATCTATACTTAATATTATAAAGAGGTAAATTT